TAGGTTACCCTCTAGGCATGCTTGTGGGGATTATTTAGATTAGGTTATCCTCTAGGCATGCCTGTGGGGATTATTTAGATGGATGGCACCATTTTACAGGCTAGAGTTAAAAGGGAGTTCAGGCTCCATTACCTTATTGATAATTAGGAAAGGATTTCTTCTTTCCTCGTTCAGGTTTCCTAATGCAATTTTTCATTCCTGCAGTGGTATTTTCTACCATCGTCCTGTGCAGATGGGCCCTCTGTGAATTGCTCTGATCCCAACCGGTGGGTTACTGCTCTGGGAATACCCATGCACTAGGCAGAGGATCATTAGGGTTTTGATGAAATAATTTACACCTCTTTTAGCTTCCTCCCAGATCCTGTTTTCCTCAGAGGTATAGCAGATAGTCAGATGAAGTATCCTTTCCTACTCTGCGGAACTCCATGCTACCTCCGTATTCTCTCATTGACTCAGACTAGCAGAGAAAAGTTCTCAGCAGGATGCATACATCTTGCCCAGCAGCTGAGGATCGTGTGAGTTTAGCTGCTCAATGCAGATGTTCCAGCTGCTGGAGCCCAGGCTTCTTTGCCCCAGCACAAGGCCAGCCCTGAGCCCAGCAAGGCAGGGGAAAGTATCTATTGCTATAGGGCACCCTTAGCTGAGGAGGTAACAGGGAGAGGAAGGCACAGCTTGGGTCTGGGGCCCAAAGGCTAACATCTGGCTTCCTGCTATGCTTAGATTTCTGTTGCTGAGATAAAATGCCCTAGCAAAACAACGTAAGTGGTGCGGGGAGGGTTTATCTGGCTTCGATTTTCAGGTCACAGACCATCATCAAAGAAAGAGCAAGTAGTCATGCAAGAACCTGAGTAGCGATGCTTGCTGGCTCACTCTCTGGTTTTCTTTAGGACATACATACTAGATATTATATACAAGACCACTTGCCTCAGGGAAGGGTACCAATCACAGTGAGATGGGTTTTCCTGTATCAACTAATAATCAACTACCCCCCTCCCCACATGTGTGTGCATGTAGACACACATGCAGACTAATCTGATCTGGGCAGTTCTTCAGTAGAATGTACTATCAAATGACTCAAGAATGAAAGCCGATTAGGACACCTTCGTGGGAGCTCATTCACCATTTACAACAGCCCTGGGAGAAAATGAAAGGAGGTGGAGAAGGAAAAGGAGAAATGGATTGGCTGGTGATACGGGTGCCTTTCTTAAGGAAGATGGAGAAGTTTGAAAGCATTTCCTACTCTCCTGCAACTTGTTCTTAAGAGATTACAGATGGAAGTCTTACCACATGGCTGGCATCTTGGCAACCGCTATAGGCATGGATCCGAGTTTGGAAGGCACCTGCAGAGATTGCAAGAGTCTTATGTCCTGGAATAGAACTATGAACAGAGACATATGGTTAGTAACAGGGAAGGAGACAGTTTACTAAGGAAAGGATGCCTGAGCTTCAGAATGGGCCAGAATTGGAGACAGGTCAAGGCTTCCAAAAAAATGAGTCTGGGGCTCTGAAACTGTTTTGTGGGTCATTTAAATATGTGAACTTTTTTGCACATGTTCTATTTTATTACATGTTGCGGTGGTGGAGGTAGTGTTGTTGGTGGAGGAGGAGATGGTGGTCTCAAGTTGGGAGTGTAGGCCCCAGCCCCTCGCATCTATCTCAGCGTAGAACTCCTATTAAACCTGGATATTTCTTAATTCGGCTTGTTTTGATTTGGCTTGATTGGGAATCGTCGTCGGCAGGAAGCTTGCGATAGGAAATATTCCTAACAGGTGGTGGAGGAGGAGAAAGAGGAGGTGGTGGTGTTGGTGGAAGAGGAGGAGGAAGAGGTGGTGTGAAGGAGGTGGTGGTGGTGGTGGTGGAAGAGGAGAAAGAGGAGGTGGTGTGAAGGAGGTGGTGGTGGTGGTGGAAGAGGTGGCAGTTGGAGTGGGGATGGAGGTGGCAGCAACGGCAGTGATGTGGTGGGGGGTTTGGGTGTTTAATTAGGACCATCTTTCTCTGCCATCAGTTTCTTTCATATGTTAATCACGATGCCTCTGGAATCTCACTGTTCAATCTATTCCCTTACATTAATATTGCCTTGTTTTTTATGTTTTATGTATTTCTGTATAGTGCTTTGTGCGTCTGCCAGAGAGACAGCTCTGGTGACTCTCTTTGGGGACCTCCTCCTCCTCCTCCTTTTCCTTCCTCCTCCTTCTTCTTCTTTGCTTGATACCTGTTTTGTTTTATTATTTTATTTATTTATCTGTTTATTTATACTGTTGAATATACTTTATTCATCTGTTTCCTTATTAAAACAGTTGTCAAAAGCCTGTGTCTTCATAGTTGTCTCCTTTAAATGTTGATGTGAGATCTTGAAAATCTCAACTTTTTTTTTATTGATTTTTATTGAGCTCTACAATTTTCTCTGCTCCCCTCCCTGCCTCTTCCCTCCCGTTCAACCCTCTCCCAAGGTCCCCATGATCCCAATTTACTCAGGAGATCTTGTCTTTTTCTACTTCCCATGTAGATTAGATCTATGAATGTCTCTCTTAGGGTCCTCTTTGTTGTATAGGTTCTCTGGGATTGCGCTTTGTAGGCTGATTTTCTTTGCTTTATGTCTAAAAACCATTTATGAGTGAGCACATATGATAATTGTCTTTCTGGGTCTGGGTTACATCACTAAAAATGGTGTTTTCTAGCTCCATCTATTGGCCTGCAAATTTCAAGATGTTATTGTTTTTTCTGCTGTGTAGTACTCCATTGTGTAAATGCACCACATTTTCCTTGTCCATTCTTCAGTCAAGGGGCATTTAGATTGTTTCCAGGTTCTGGTTATGACAAACAATGCTGCTATGAACATAGTTGAGCATATGTCCTTGTGGCATGGCTGAACCTCCTTTGGATATATACCCAAAAGTGGTATTTCTGGGTCTTGAGGAAGGTCGTTTTCTAATTTTCTGAGAAATCAGTAAACTGATTTCCAAAGGGCTGTACCAGCTTGCACCTCCATATGCAATGGAAGAGTGTTCCATTTACCCTACAACCTCTCCAGCATAAGTTATCATCAATGTTTTTGATCATGGCCATTCTTACAGGTATAAGATGGAATCTCAGAGTTGTTTTGATTTGCATTTCTCTGATGACTAAGGATGTTGAGCATTTCCTTAAGTGTCTTTCAGCCATTTTAGATTCCTCTGTTGAGAGTTCTCTTTTTAGGTCTGTACTCCATTTTTTTTAATTGGATTATTTGTTTTTTTGATGACCAATTTCTTGAGTTCTTTGTATATTTTGGAGATCAGCCCACTGTCTGATGTGGAGTTGGTGAGGATCTTTCCCCATTCTGTAGGCTGTCGTTTTGTCTTGTTGACTGTGTCCTTTGCTTTACAGAAACTTTTCAGTTTCAGGAGATCCCATTTATTAATTGTTTCTCTCAGTGTCTGTGCTGCTGGGGTTAAATTTTAAAAAGTGGTCTCCTGTGCCAATGCGTTCAAGTGTACTCCCCACTTTCTCTTCTATGGGGTTCAGTGTGGCTGGCTTATGTTGAGGTCTTTGATCCATTTGGACTTGAGTTTTGTGCATGGTGGTAGATATAGGTCTATTTTCATTCTCCTACATGTTGATATCAAGTTATGCCAGAAACATTTGTTAAATATGCTTTCTTTTTTCCATTTGATATTTTTTACTTCTTTGTCAAAATTCAGGTGTTCAAAAGTGTGTGACTTAATATTCGTGTCTTCCATTTGGTTCCATTGGTCCTTCTGTCTGGTTTCATGCCAATACCAGACTGTTTTTCAGTACTGTGGTTTTGTAGTAGAATTTGAAGTCAGGGATTGTGATGCCTCCAGAAGTTCCTTTATTGTACAAGATTGTTTTGGCTATCCTGAGTGTTTTGCTTTTCCATATAAAGTTGAGTACCATTCTTTTGAGGTCTGTGAAGAATTTTGCTGGGATTTTGATGGGCGTGGCATTGAATCTGTAGAATGTTTTTGGTAAGATTGCCATTTTTACTATGTTAATTCCACCTACCCAAGATCATGGTAGATCTTTCCACTTTCTGGTATCTTCTTCAGTTTATTTTTTCAAAGATTTAAAGTTCTTGTCATTCAGGTCTTCCACTTGTTTGGTTAAAGTTACTCCAAGATATTTTATGCTATTTGTGGTTATTTGTGAAGGGTGATGTTTCTCTGATTTCTTTCTCAGCCCATTTATCATCTGTGTAAAGGAGAGCTAGTGATTATTTTTAGTTAATCTTATATCCTGCTACATTACTGAAAGTGTTTATGAGTTGTAAAAGTTGTTTGGTAGAATTTTGGGGGTTGCTTATGTAAAGTATCATATCATCACCAAATAGTGAGAGTTTGCCTTCTTTTCTGATTTGGATCCCCTTGATCTTCTTTTGTTGTCTTATTGCTCTAGCTAGGACCTCAAGAACTATATTTAATAGATATGGAGAAAGTGGATAACCTTGTCTTGTTCCTAATTTCAGTGAAATTGCTGTGGGTTTCTCTCCATTTAGTTTGATGTTGGCCATTGGCTTGCTGTATGTTGCCTTTATTATGTTTAGGTGTTCCTTGTTTCCGTGCTCTTTCCAAGACCTTTATCATGAAGGGATGTTGTATTTCATCGAAAGTTTTTCCAGCATCTACTGACATGATCATGTGGATTTTATATTTCAGTTTGTTTATATGGTGGATTACATTGACAGATTTTTGTATGTTGAACCATCCCTGAATCTCTGGAATGAAGCCAACTTGACCATGGTCGATGATGGTTCTGACGTGTTCTTGGATTCGATTTGCCAGTATTTTATTTAGTATTTTTGCATCAATGTACATGAGTGAGATTGGTTTGTAATTCTCTTTCTTAGTAATGTCTTTATGTTGTTTGGGTATCAGGGTAATTGTAGCCTCATAAAAAGAGTTTGGCAATGTTCCTTCTGTTTCCATTGTGTGGAACAATTTGAGGAGTATTGGTATTAGTTCTTCTTTGAAAATCTTATAGAATTCTGAGCTGAAACCATCTGGTCCTGGGCTTTTTTTGGTTGGGAGACTTTTGATGACTGTTTCTATTTCTTCAGCAGTTATAGATCTGTTTAATATCCTTATCTGGTCTTGATTTAATTTTGGTGAGTGATATTTATCCAGAAAGTTGTCCATTTTCTTTAAGTTTTTCAATTTTGTTGAGTAGAAGTTTTAGAAATATGATCTGGCGATTCTCTGTATTTCCTCCATGTCTGTTGTTATGTCCCCCTTTTCATTTCTGATTTTGTTAATTTGGATATTCTCTCTCTGCCTTTTGGCTAGTTTGGATAAAGTTTTGTCTATTTTGTTGATTTTTCTTGGAGAATTAACTCTTTGTCTCATTGATTTTTTTGTATTTTTTTGTTTCTATTTTGTTGATTTCAGCTCTCAATTTGATTATTCTTGCCGTCTAGCTCTCTTAGGTGAGTTTACTTCTTTTTGTTCTAAATTTTTCAAATGTTCTGTTAATTCACTAGTGTGGGATTTTTCCAGCTTCTTTATGTAGGCATTCAGTGCGATGAACTTTCCACTTATGTAGGCATTCAGTGTGATGAACTTTCCTCTTAACACTGCCTTCATTGTGTCCCACAAATTTGGGTATGTTGTGTGGTCATTTCATTGAATTTTAGAAAGTCTTTAATTTCTCCCTTTATTTCTTCCTTGACCCATTGATGACTCAGGTGAGCATTGCTTAATTTCCATGTATTTGTGGGCTTTCTGGAATTAGTATTGCTGTTGAATTTTAGTGCTAAGTCATGGTGATCTGATAAGATAGACGGAGTTATTCCAAATTTTTCTATTTGTTGAGGTTTGCTTTGTTACCGAGTATGTGGTCAATTTTTGAGAAGGTTCTGTGAGGTGCTGAGAAGGTATATTCTTTTATATTTGGATGGAATAATCTACAGATGTCTGTTAATCCATTTGTGTTATAACATCTGTTAGTTCCCTTATTTCTCTGTTCATTTTTTGTCTAACTGACCACTGGAAAAGTGGTGAGAGTGGAGTGTTGAAGTCTCCCACTACTAGTGTGAGGGATTTAATGTATGATTTAAACTATAGAAGTGTTTCTTTTACATATGAGGGTATCTTTGTGTTTGGGGCACAGATGTTCAGTATTGAGAACATATTCTTCTTGATGGATTTTTCCTGTGACTAATATGAAATATCCTTCTTTGTCTCTTTTGATTTATTTTAGTTTGAAGCCTATTTTGTTAGATATTAGGATAGCTACACCAGCTTGTTTCTTAGGTCCATTTGATTGGAAATTTTTTCCAACCCTTTACTCTGAGGTGAAGTCTGTCTTTGAGGTTGAGGTGTGTTTCTTGTGTGCAGCAGAAGGATAGATTCTGTTTTCATATCCAATCTGTTAGCATCTTTTTATAGGTGAGTTGAATCCATTTATATTAAGGGATATTAATGACCAGTGATTGCTATCTCCTGTTAATTTAATTTTCATTGCTAGTGATGCTAATTTGTGTGTTTTTCCCTTCTTTGGGATTTGCTGCTATGAGATCATCAATTGTCTGTGTTTTTGTGGATGTAGCCAACTTCCTTGGGTTGGAGTTTTCCTTCTAGTACTTTGCGTAAGGCTGGGTTTGTGGCTAGGTATTGGTTAAATCTGATTTTGTCATGGAATATCTTGTTTTATTTTGGGGACCTTCTTACTAAATAGCCAGGTCTTTCAGAACTCAGTGCCCAGTGTTACCCAGGAGTGGACAAACCACTTCTGGATGGGGCTTCTATCTCTCTACCTCCTCAAACTAGGGAGTCACAGCTGGGGCTGTGTTAGTGTGTGTGTGTGTGTGTGTGTGTGTGTGTGTGTGTGTGTGTGTGTATGTTTTCAATGCTGTAGATTGAATGTAGGCCCTCACACATGCAAGCCAATAGCTCTACCACTGAGCTGAAGCTCCCCCGTTGCTCAGGCTGTCCTCAAACTCATTTTTCTTCCTCAGCCTCCCATGAATCAGGAATCAGAATCCTGTCCTGACAGACTTGGCTATGCTTATTTCCCATCAATGTGGTTCTCTGTTTTCCTGCACGTTTCAGCTGTCCATAACGTCTATTGGGATTTCCGGTAATCTTGTAATTTTTCTGTCTTTAGTGTACATTTGTGATCTCCGCTCTTCTCACTCATGGTGTCACACAGAGTCAGAGTCTGACCTGCAAGACTCACATACGAAACCTGAATTCCTATCCAGAACTCACAGATTGCCTTGAAATTACCACCCAGTGTTCCTTGCTTTGAGAGGAAAGCAGGCACAACTGCTGCTGGAAAGTGTCAGAGAAATTGTTCTGTGTTTACCCCTGGTTAGAAGAGAAGTCAGCAGGAAACATGCGCCACTCATGGTGGGGGTTGGGGGGGCTGTCCTCCCACGGTGAAGGACTTCTAAAATTCATCCTCTGATAATTTCCCGCTCAGGCACAACACATTCTGATCATCTCACCACCCTCTTTCCCTCTCTGCTCCTCCTAGGTCCTCCTCTCAACTTCATAACCTCTAAGTCCCATCACTGTTGCCCTTCTGTTCACAGCTGTGGGGCCATCAGCGGGAGCACTGGCGCCCTAACAGGAGCCACCTCCTTGAAGAAACTGACTCTCCCTATCCCAGAAGTCCTAAGTTTGCAAAAACTTCCCATCTAGGTATGGAACTCTATAATTCCCTGAGGCAGGGCAAGAGCACAAGCGCAAGCAAGCCCCGTCAGCTGATCACAGCATGGTAACTAATGACACACACTGCTTGCCAATCACAACATGCCTGCAGGGACTGCCAGTTTCAAAAGGACCAATCAGTATCGTTCCTGCAGCAGCTTAATTTCCCTAACCCCATTAAATCCCCCAACCTGTTTACAAGGCCAAGTGTGTGAGATGGTGGATAGCGTCCCTTCATCACTATAGTCTTCATGGTAACCAACACAGCACACTGGGACGGTCACACAGGTCAGCTTAAGAGTTCTGGGTGGTGTGGGAGGTGCACAGCCCGCAGCCTTGTGCAGCCTAAGCAAGCATTCTCCTAAGTAAGCTCTGCTCCAGCTCCTGGGTTTCTGATATATGATCCCACTGTGTTGCCCAGGCTAGCCATGAATTTGCTCTGTAGGCCAGATGGGTCTTGAACTTGCTATCCTCCTGCCTCAGCAGCCTGACTGCTGGGATTAGGTCCATGTATTATATGCCCAGGCACAAATAATTTTTAATTGAGAAACAATTTATATCATCATGTAAATTTAATGGAACGATACATGAAAAAACTTGCCATCATAATGAAAATGTACTCAGTGGACAAACATGTCTTCCTCAGAGCCCTTTCTTTAAGATCAGAACTTTCTGTAAAAGTTTTATTTTTAGCAGCTGTGAGATTTTGAGCATATGTATTTATGAGTTTGAGTTTCTTCTATGCAGTGAAATGTTAGCAACACTTTATGGGGTTGTAATGATTAAATGAAATCATGCTAGGTTTAGCCCATTTCTTACCCAAAATCACTTTAAAGATTTATTTTATGTGTATGAGTGTTTTGCCTGCATGTACGTATGTGTCATATACATGTAGTGCTGAGGAAACCAGAAGAGGGCATTGGTTCCCTGAAAGTGAAGTCATAGACAAGTTTCCAGCTATCCTGTGGGCACTAGGAACCAAACCCTGGGTCCTCTGCAAGAGCAGAAACTGTGGAGCCATCTCCACAGCCCCAAAAGAGTCACTTTTAAAGAAATTTACAACAAGCATGACACCCATTGAATTTTTTCACTCCAAGAGCCTCAGTAGCACAAACATAAAGTCACCTAGGGATGACCCACTCAACGTGAGAAGTGCCCTCAACATCACACTCTTCCTCAGGGACTAACTGGGCTGGCTCCTCACCAGTTAGCTTCCTCCAGACTCCAAAGGCACTTCCCAACCTGCTCTTGAATCTTCTCTCATCTCCCTTCCTTCTTTCCTGTTTCCAAATCTGCACTGCCATCCCCACTTCTTAGCTCTCAGCTTCTAAAAATATATCCTACAGGCATATCTCGGCCTCTCCCATCTCCATCACTGAGGTACAGGCCTTTAGCCCACTTTCATCTGGGAGATATCAAAGCCTGTGACCCCTCCCTGCTCTGTCTCCTTCCACATGAACCTCATGTCTGTTCTAATGGAGAGAGGCAGTCCCTGTGAATGTCTTCCTGTTGGGACCAGCGGAAGAAGGGGAAGAAGCAAGGCTGTGTACCCTGTTTCATTTCAGTGAGGTCAGGAGGAGGAGCAGACTGGGATGTTAAAGATGAAATTATGAATAGCCTTTTCACATTGACAGCTTTGACACGCCCTCGGAGGCTCTTCTTTCTCAGGACATAACATGCTTTTTCGGATCTGAAGATATGGTCAAGGACATAAAAGGTGAAATTGCTTTTATAATTCGGGGTATTTTCTTGAAAGATATGTTGGAGGGTTCTTGGTATATGTCAGCTAACAGTCACTGAAACGGACAGAAAATCAGCCCAAGTTTTCCTGTGTGTAAAGAAAGAGATGTTGGTCTCCTGTAAAATTTAAGTTATGGCTCACATGACTGAATACTGGTAGGTCTTAAAGGGATTAAAAACACGGGATAAACAGAACCTGAGACCCTGGATGTAACTCTATCACTGTCAGCTGTTAGTGAATTAGTACCAGAAGTAGGTTTGCTGTCCTTGGCTGATGCCCTCTGTTACTACATAAAACGCTGTGTATTTCTTAGGTTGGGAAGACATAACCAGCGGGAAGGTTGACAGCCACATGCTGCCAGGTGACCACTTTTATCTGTTGGAACCTGAGAATGAGAACTTCATCAAGAACTATAGAACCAAGTGTTTGGAAGTGTCGTTACTCGCTTGCTCTTAGAGGGGCCTTCAAACATGGAAACCCACCACAGGCTGTGCCTCTAGCTCCTGGAGATGCAGCGCTTTAGTTTCCAGACACTGGAAAGATGCATATTGATGGATTTCTTCATGGAGCATCTCTCTATCTGGGAAAAAGGCTAAGTGTCAGGGAGGCGAGGAGCTACTGTAGCTGAGGGCTGCAGCAGGAAGGGGCTGCTTTTCTTTGGGGGATGTGGCCACTAGTCGGTTACTCACGCTCCATGTGCACCCTCCTGACACAGCAGGCAGCACAAACTGGACTCAGTGCGCTGTTTAAAAAGATGAGAAGGGCGGCATAGAATTGGGAGGGGCACACATTGGAGGACATCCGTCAGGGGCGAGTTGGAAAGGCAAGAGAGGGGTGGATATGATCAAAACACATGTATGCATTTAGGAAAATTTCAAAGGATAAATAAAAATATTGTTAGAGGAAGAAAACTTCTGCTAGTGTCCTTTACATTTTTATTAGAATCTAATTTGAGTGACTTTTATATAAAGTTTTATCAACAAAGTGTCTTCAGGTGGGGTTACACCTGAAGTCTCTTGCACTATTCTAGGGGCAAGAGTGATTGACAGAGGGAAATGATCATTTCTCCATCACCACACTGTGACTCAAAGTGTAATCTAATCTATAGAATCTATAGAAATATACATTAGCCCTACTGCATAAGAAAGAGCACTTGCCTTTTTTAAAATCAAAATATATTACTAAACAATTACTGCCCATCATGAAAGGAAGACCTCGGGGTGCTTACAACACACTGCCCTGGCAGTGATTGGCTGGCACTCAGAGCCCTTCCATGGGCAGCCAAACCACAGCCTGGTTAGTTAATTTCTCCATATCATATAGGAAGCCAGGAAGTGGCCTGGATGCAATTCCACTTGTCACTCCAGAGTGCCCACATTCATGGGAGTCCGCAGTACATGGTGCAGCAAAGGAACTGAACCGTTCTGTTTCTCCAACCTACTCACAATTTCCTTCAGTCTTAGGCTTTCCTGTTTTGGGACAGGGTCTCGTGTAGTCTAGGCTGTCCTTAAACCCATGACCCTCCTGGCTCCGCTTCCTGAAGCATTCACAGTGGTCTGGCTGCCACTCATTCTGAACAAACTTTTCTTTTTGCCCAGTAGCACTAACTCATCGTATAAGAACAGATTAAGTCAAGAAAACAAACACTGAGCCTTGATGGTTCAGTCAGTAAAGTGCTTGCCTGTAAACCCGAGGACCCGAGTTCAAGCCCCAGATTGCCAAGCATGATGGAGCACATTGTAATCCCAGTCCTGGGGATGCAGGGGGAAGAGATCTCTGGGGCAGTCAGTCTAGCATACTTGTTGAGCTCCAAGCAAGGAGAGACCCTGCCTCACAGGAAGCAAATACCATATCTTAGAAAAAACAGCCAAGGTTATTCTCTGGCCTCCACATGTGTGCATACATAATGTGTAACACACACATATGAACACTCATACACAGACATATGCAAAAAGGAAACATATTAACGCTTATACATAGACTACAAAATGACTTTTTAAAGTGACCTTGCACAAGCAAGCAAAATTAGGTAATTATATTGACATATTCCAAAATATTAGAATATTAGAATCCATGCTAATAGGAAAATACATATGATTTATACAGTTGTCAATGCATTTCCCCCTATACACCACGTTGCTATTATGAAGGCATTCAAAGGAGATCTGTCTCCCCTGTCAAGTTCTAAATTCCGTATTTCTCGATCAGCTCTCTTGCTTTAGAAATATAGGCCCTCATTGCATCTTCCTTCGACCACCCGAGAGAGATACAAACACGTTATCTTACTGACTCGTGTGGACGGAGATTAAGAAGGTTTGTGTTAACCTATTTAAGAATTAAAAATCTTTCTGGAGGCTCCACGCTTCCCAGTTGGCCTTGCCCTTCATATCTAACATTACTGGACATGCTGCCAAGAGGAGAGAGTTGCAATGTTACTTTTCACTGTGCACTTCTACAAACACTGTGAACAAGTACATCTATTTGTCTAAAACAAGCATCAGGTACCACCCATGTTGATGTCTCCGATGATGGACTGTTTGTAGAGCCCGTAGATTTCTTTGAGTTCTTCATCTTTCGGTCTGCTTTTCAGCTTCCTCACATCTTGTGTGGCCTGGTCAAAATTTGCCTAAGACAAAAGACAACATGAACACACAAAAGGTGCATATGTGGTGTGTATACACACCTGCAAGCAAGACATACACATAAAATCTAATTTTTTTTATTGTAAGTCTCATGTCAACTGTCTTCCAGTAAAGTTGTTTAGCTTACTCTGGGTTGAGTGGCATATGTGTCTTATCCCGAGGAATAATTTCTTTTGCAATCTTTCCCACTCCTCCCCTCTTCTCTCCTCCTTCCCTCTATAACAAATGCTGAAGAAATTTCACTTTACAAAGAAAAAAGTTGGTTAGCAGCCATTGGTGTGACCACAGAGCCAGATGATAGCTACAGGGAAACACATCCGGAGGAGCCTGCCTCAGAGGCCGGTGCTTGCAATGACTTTTGGGTAAGGGTGCGCAGGTGTCCAGTGTGAAGACAAGAGCTGGCATAGGCGGTCCTGGCCATCCAGACAGACGTCACCAGTGTCGAGCATAAAGGACGGGATCAATCACATCAGCTTGTTCCCTGTACAACCACAATAAAGGGCAGGCACAGCTATTCACCCCGTCTGCTGATTGATGTCAAGAACCTGACCACAGAGCGTTATAAGATCCCTGGAGGGTGGATGAGAATATTATCACAGTTGACACATCTTTATGCTTATCTGTTCACAGTGAATTCCAAAGCATTCTAGCAAAAGGAATGCCAGTGTCCCTATGTTTCTGTGCCCTGGGAACTGGGCTCCTTGTGGCAGGCGTCTTTGTTTTGGCTAAATGGGTGTCCTGCATCCTTATTGATGTGTATCCTTGTGTTCTTCCTCTCACTTGCGAACAATGCCCCGTCCTGTTCACGAGTGTGCTCCAAGGCCATTGTTACCACCCTTCCTGTGGCTGGGATGATACCCATAATGGGCACAGAAACCATCTCAAAGAATGACCTGGGGCCTCTGGATCCTTCCATTCAAAGCTCATCCCTCTGAAGACAGCCTCTGAAGGTGCTCACAGTTTCCTTCCTTCACTTTCTGTAGAGATTGAACAGAACAGTCAGCTCATATATCAGCCTGGTAAATCCCTTTGAGCAAGCCTTCCTTGATGAAGGACTGCATTAGGAAGATAAATCCCTCAGTTATTTGAGTCACACAAGTGTGTGTGTGTATGTGTGTGTGTGTGTGTGTGTGTGTTGTGTGTATGTGTCTACTGAGTGTAAACATCAGCCGTCCCCTCCTGTCCCACAACTTTTTGTGCTGTGTAGGAATCAAACCTAGGGCCTCGGGCAAGCTCCTTACCACTGAGCTGCATCTCCCACCCAGAAAAGACACAGCACCCAGTCCACTCCTTAGCGCCACTGCCTAGCAAGGAAACGTGTCTAAGTAAGGTGACTGTCCCGCCACGTGTGGAAGCAACACCTGGAATCCTAGCAGCAGAGAAGCTGAGGCAGTGGGATCAGCCAAAGGTTGAGGCTAGCCTGAGCTAAATAAAATAAAATAAACAAAAATCCAATATTACAATTTACATATAAAATTGGGAGATTATAACTGAATTAGAAATTCCATCTGTGTTTTTACTTCCAGAACAATAGTGAATGCACCCTGACTGTCCCTTTCACTAGTGAGCCACTAACAGCACCCAGGAGGGACATAATGTCTGTCTTCTTCCATTTCCATTTTGAAGACAGAGGAGGTTTGTATATGCTAACCAGCTACTGGCTGTTGGCTTTTCAATATATTCTTCACTTTTATTACAATTTTAAATTTTGATTTTTGAAATAATTTCAGACCCAGTACAAGTTATAAAAATACCACATCTTTAGTACCTGCCAGGTGTTCCTGGGTATAATCTTTGTAACAAGTCCTTACCTCCCATTCTCTCAGTGTGCCAGTGAACTAACAGTATAGACCTGTGAGTGTGTGTGTGTGTGTTAAGGTTAACTATGTAGCCCAGGCTATCCCAGAACATCCAGGCTTAAAAGATCCCCGTACCTCACTTTTTCTAGAGGTGGCCAGGGACTCCAGGGACCGCCTGCACACTAAGGGCTCTGCCAACTGAGCAACACAAGCCTAATCCCCTTTATTTCTTAAATGGACTTCCCACCTGCCTTCATCTTTCTTTTCTGCTCAAACTACTTCTTGTTTGGTGTGTGTTTTATTCTGAGACAGGACCTCATTAGTACAGTGTAGCTTTAAATCTGCTGAGCAGCGAAGGATGGACGTTGATTCCCGATCTTTCTTTCTCCAAGTCCTGAGTGCTGGGATTAGAGGTGTGTACTGCTACACCTGGCTTGGACAACCCCTCTCCCCCAGAATGCATTGTATTTTTGATATATTATTACATTAGCAAGGATTTCAAACTGAAATAATAAGTATATGTTTTAACAAAATTTCATCTGTAATACTTTATTCAAGTATAAACAATTGCAGTGACTATAATTCAAGCACTCTTTGATCATACTGATGCTGATATCAAGTAAGCATGTGTTTTCAAATAAAATCTTTTTTTTCCTTCTTTTTTATTTTTGGTTTTGGAGACAGGTTACTGTGTAACACTCCTGGCTATCTTGGAACTCGATTTGTAGACCAGAATGGCCTTGAACTCACTGACATCCACCTGCCCCTGCCTCCCAAGTGCTGGGATTAAAGGCGCATGCCACCACCACCCACAGCAGGGTAAGGTATCTTATTTAGAAAGTTTCAGGACAGCCAGGATGGTCTCGAACAAAACAAAACAATAACAAAAAGAGATACATACCTACTGCTGCTTTAAATGCTGCCTATGTGGCTCATCCAACCAGTTCTCTCCTCTACTTTTATTTATTCTATGTTTGCTGTTGTGTGAGTGCAGATGCACAGGTCCCATGGCATGGTGCAGCTCAGGGAACAATTACAACAGTCACTTCTCTGATATAGGTGGGCCTTCTGTCTATGTGTTATTTTCATTGATTAATAAAGAGACTGCCTTGGCTCTTTGATAGGACAGAAAATTAGGTAGGCGGAGTAAACAAAACAGAATGCTGGGAAGAGGGCAATGAAGCAGATGGCATAGAGCCAGCCACCAGGTCAGACATGCTGAATCTTTCCCGGTAAGCCACCACCTCATGGTGGTACACAGATTATTAGAAATGGGTTAATCAAGATGTGAGAGTTAGTCAGTAACTAACTCTCTTGAGATAATGGGCCAGGCAGTGTTTAAATGAATACAATTTGTGTGTTGTTATTTCCGGGGCTAAGCTAGCCTTGCGGGAGCCGGGCAGGATGAAAAGCAGGCCTGCCCTCAGCTCCTCACTACATTTCTCTGTCAACTACAGGGTTCCAAGGGTTGAACTCACATAACCAAGATTGCCAGAAGGCTCCTGGCTTCTGTCCTCTATTCTGAGATAAGAAAATACTGAGGAACACATACACACACACGCACACAGAGAGAGAGAGAGACAGACAGAGAGAGAGAGAGAGAGAGAGAGAGAGATATTAACATGTCACAGTCTGAGAGGGAGATGCAAACTTTAATTTCTCTGGGGTGTGTCATTCAGCCGTGATATGATCTTGCCTGAAAAATATCTAAAGAAGTTTGCTATTCTCATGACAGAATATGTTAAGCATTAACAATGTGCGTCTTAGAAGGTGATTTAGTGAGGAAGTGTTCCTAATATAACTGCTACATGAGAAGCAAATTACGAATGTATAATGCTCACATACATTCACATATAATCAGACACAAATGGAAAAAAGACGTAAGAAACGAACCTACCATGTGGCTACTAGGGGAAGGCTCATCTGGTTTTTAATTTATTAATATTTATTCTCTCCACTTCTATCAATAAGACGGTAGGTTCTACTTCATAGAGGAACTACCCATGCTAGTCAACAAAACACTTGCCTATGAGAACCCCTGGAGGTCCCAAGAGCAAGGGGACTTGAGACCTTTGTGGATGTCACCTGCTTCCCTGAGTTGTTCAGAGAGAAATGGAGGAGGGAAGCTTGTCAATTTTTCACGTCTGAGTAATTTAAACCATCCCTGGAGCCCAGAGGGGTTGCTATGGGAACCTGGGTCCTTGTCAACAGATGGCGCAGTGAAGTCTACACTGAAATAACAAGACACTTAGGCAGGTGTGGGGACTGACTGCAGATTCACAACTGGGCTCTTCTGAGAGCTCCACTTGCCCCCGCCCTGCCCAGAGCTGCCATGCCACCTTTCGCCCCATCAGAGCTCTCCTTCACGGAGCATTGCTCCTGCAATGCCTTCTCAGATCTGGCTTACCTGCAGGGGCATAGTGATGAGGTAAAGTAGGCTCTCCAGCTGAGTCCCAGACCTCAGGATTTGGCCGCTTTCTTAAAGAGAAGGCTCCTCCTTCTCCGGCCTCTCCTATAGGTTGTGTGCTCGGCATGGGAGACTCTAATTGGTCACAGGGGCTGGAGGGCGGAGCCGGACGATGGGCTGTGCCCGCCCAGTCTCTCAGAGGAGGGGCCTGGGCTGACTCTCCTTGGAAAGGGTTACTAGATTACTATCTCTCTGCTCCTGGCTCACACTTCAATTTTTTTCCCCCTTTTTCCTTAAGAGGTTGTTTTCAGGAAGCCAAGAGAGGTCTCCCCAGTCTTTGGAACTCACCTGGAAGTCCTTGATCCTTCCTCTGTGTTTCTAGAAATCTGCGTGGTGAGTGGCAATGACTGGGACCTCTCAAGAGCCAGGACTAAGACTCATCAGGATTGAAAAGGGACCAGGGCTGGTGAACCTCCTCTTAAGAAAGCAAGAACATTAATTCTAAGCTCGAGCTGCACTCATCTCCGCCGCTATTTATTTTCAGCAAATCCTGCAGCCCGTTTAGTGGGACAGATCTCCCCAGATGCAAATTCACCATCATCTGGAGACTGCAAGGTCTCAGGATGAAGCTTTGCACCGCATTTGCTATGCTTACAAAGAAATGGAATAAGGAGTCCAGTTCAGGAGAAGAAGTTGTTTCTGACCGATTAAAACAGATTTGTGGAGATGGGGACAGAAGAAAAGAAACCCCGTATATAGAGCAACCGAGTTTGAACAT